TCTCAGCCTGTGTCTGGTCCTGTCGCTGGTCCTGTTGCTGGACCTGTCGCTGGCCCCGTCGCTGGCCCCGTCTCTGGCCCTGGCCCTGGCCCTGGGCTCTGCCCAGGACCTAATGTGTTGCTGAACCAGCAAAACCCTCCAGCTCCTCAGCCCCAGCATTTGGCTAGAAGACCTGTGAAAGACATCCCTCCTCTGATGCAGACCCCTATCCAGGGTGGAATTCCGGCCCCGGGGCCCATGCCAGCTGCAGTTCCTGGACCTGGTTCTTTAACTCCTGGTGGAGCTCTGCAGCCCCAAGTTGGAATGCCAGTGGTTGGTCCTGTGCCTTTGGAGCGGGGACAGATGCAGATGTCGGATCCTAGAGCTCCTATGCCACGTGGACCCATGACTGCTGGTGGACTACCTCCTCGAGGGTTGTTGGGAGATGCTCCAAATGACCCGCGTGGAGGGACTTTGCTTTCAGTCACTCACACTGGAGAAGTGGAGCCCAGGGGCTATCTTGGGCCACCTCATCAGGGCCCCCCCATGCACCATGCCCCTGGTCATGACGGCCGTGGCCCTTCCTCACATGAGATGAGGGGAGGGCCAATCACCGATCCCAGAATGCTAATTGGAGAGCCCAGAGGACCAATGATAGATCAAAGGGTTCTACCTCTGGATGGTAGAGGTAGTAGAGACTCTCGAGGGATGGAGACCCGAGCCATGGAAACTGAGGTCTTAGAGGCACGAGTGATGGAGAGAAGAGGAATGGAGACCTGTGCAATGGAAGCCAGAGGCATGGATGGAAGAGGAATGGAGATACGGGGCCCTGGCCCCGGTTCAAGAGGCCCTATGACCAGTGGAATCCAGGGTCCTGGTCCCATTAATATGGGGGCAGGTGGTCCACAGGGACCCAGGCAGGTCCCAAGCATTTCAGGGGTGGGAAATCCTGGAGCTGGCATGCAAGGACCAGGTATGCAGGGAGCAGGCATGCAAGGACCAGGTATGCAGGGAGCAGGCATGCAAGGACCAGGTATGCAGGGAGCAGGCATGCAGGGAGCAGGCATGCAGGGAGCAAGTATGCAGGGAGCAGGCATGCAGGGAGCAGGTATGCAGGGAGCAGGCATGCAGGGAGCAAGCATGCAGGGAGGAGGCATGCAAGGGGCAGGCATGCAGGGAACAGGCGTACAGGGGGCAAGCAAGCAAAGTGGAGGCCAGCCTAGCAGTTTTAGTCCAGGGCAGAGCCAAGTAACTCCACAGGATCAAGAAAAGGCAGCTTTGATCATGCAGGTTCTTCAACTGACTGCAGATCAAATTGCCATGCTGCCTCCTGAGCAAAGGCAGAGTATCCTGATTTTAAAGGAACAAATCCAGAAGTCTACTGGAGGTTCTTGAAATACTTCATAGTAATCCCAGAAAGTTTTTTTTTTCCTTTTTCTTTTTCTCTTTTTTCTTTTTATCATGGAGAATGGGTGCAAAAAGCTGACTACTGCATCCCCACAGTTGAATGATTAGGGCAGAACCTAATCTCTTTTGTTGTTCTTGTCTTCCCTGCCCCCTCCGTTTTCCTTTTTATTTTTAATCGGGAGGGGGAGGCATGGGTCTGTTCACTTTAATTCACTGTAAATATACAAAAATAACTCTGAAAGGGATACTATACCAAATAAAATTACAAATAATATGCAGCAATACTAAAAGTGTGTACAATGTGTTAACTTCTTTTAAAAACAATATTGAATAAAACAATGTGAAATCTTTACAGAAGACGAAAAGATAACCTGTTAAAAAGATAATTTACCAAGATAGTTTAAGAGTTTTGGTTGTATAAGAAAACAAGTTTACCTCCAAAACATAAGATCCATTTTTTGGTAAGTCAAAATACAAAAACCTATTTTGGGGGCAATAGAAAGTTGTGTTAAGTTAAGCATTCTTTCAGTGTTTTGGAATTATTTAGAAATGTTAGAGTTAACAGGATAAATCTAAACTTGTGGTACTGGGATTGTTTTTTTCTAAAGCTGTGCTACCTGAATATCAAAGAATGCATCTGGTGTGATGTTTCATTTATCTCACCTTTCAGAGGCCAGTGATATTCTGACCTGGCTTGACAGTTCTAGGATTAACCAGGTTACTTAACTCTCCTCTGACGAGACTCAGTATATCTCTCCATACCTTCCTATGTCTCAGTAACTTTGAGCCCTAAATCTAAATCTGAGTTATTCTCTCACATCCTTCCCTAAGGTCAGTGTCTAGGGACCAGTTTATCTGAGTGAATTATAGACCACATTGGGCTTTTCATAAATGGTAAAGGGCTTCCTTCATGCAGTAAAACTCTGCGTCTAGCTTTTATATGCAGATGCTTCCATCTGGTCAACCAGAAACAGGAATTTAAAATCTTAGTCTCAGCAATATTTAACATACCTTTTAGTTTTCTTATATCAAAATCTATTTGTGTATCACCATCTTATCAAAATAATCCAATCCCAGGTAGGTAGGTAAAATCTTGTAGCCTGAATTCTCTGCTTAGTGGTTATCAATCATCGCTTTTTATAAGGCATAAAGCCACTTAGTTCTAGTATAGGTACCACTGAGACATAGTTAAAAATCAGTAGAAAGGTGAAGCTTATCACATTTCCTTCAGAGCTACTACCTAATTTATTTTGAAGCCTTGAGAATGTGGACATATAAAGTATAGCATCAACTACTACTGAACAGAAGTATAAACACCCAAATAACCAGGTGATCTTACTCTGGAGAAAAACCAACAAAAACTAATACTAGTTACAGAGGGAGAAATGTCATTTAATACAAGGAGAGAACTGAGACTTGGAAATGAATTATTTTTCCTTTGCAAGGTGTATACATCTTAAATGGGTATAAAGTTTTCATCTATATGCTGTTTCCACTTACCCATTTTTTACTGTTGTTTATACTGTTACTTTCCCTGTGTATCCTATATGCTCCCCCTAGATTGGAGGGATAACTCTACATGTGTGATAGTTCTGTACACTAATTCACAGAGTTGGCTTGGTCACTTTGAAATTATAGTTCCTTTAAAGCTTTCTTTGAAGGACTAAATGAAAACCATTAAATGTTATGTTCTTTGTTGTAATAAAATGTCTGCATTGTTTAATGAAGACTTAATAAAAAGAATGCACAATACCTGGCGTTTATTTCTAATGACTGCATTGTTTAAGTGGTCTATTGAGAGATCCGCAGGGCCTGAACACTTTTTTTTTATTTTAATGAAAAAGAACTAAAATTGTAGGAATGAATGGGAATCCCTTTCTTAGATTTATTATCTATATTGTTCCACAACTGAAATAAATTCTGTGGTTGGTATCAGTAGCAACATCTTGGTGGATACTCAGACATTAGACTTTCCTTTTATTTATGTTCCCCACAGAGAACTCTTTCCTGTATCCCAGGATCACCTTATGGGTATCTTCATTACTGACAGCACTTTCATATTGCAATGCACTATGTTAAATTTTACCTTCTACCCCCCATTCCCACTTCTAATAGACCAGGAACTCTGAATGTAGACTGTCATTCATTTCTGTAGCAAAAATCGCAGGTGAGAACGAAGGACAAAACATTGTATCAGAGTCTTAGGGGGAAAAAAAACTCCATTAAGAGCACATACATTTTCGCAAAAAGGGGAAAAAGGGATTTAGGTTGCACACAGACCAAATGAACTATAACCACTATTTGCATTAGAAAATAAGCCAGAAATAGATAATAGAAGCAATCTCCTTTACTTTGGTAAACCTAATAGGTTCTTCCTAATTCACTGCCTGGTTGTCCCCAGTATTAATGAATAGAGCCTTAATTCATTTTGATAGTGAAAAATACAAGCAGTGTGTGTCTGCTACTATTAGTTTTACTACATAATGGTTAGTTAGAACCCCTGGCATCCTGCATTACCCAAATTTGGATAGACTGCAAATGAAATCACAAATTCCTAATAGCAATAGTTGAACATAGTGGATGAAACACTGATTTGCAAATGCCTATTGAGCAGTATATGTTTCTTGGGAATAGGGAATTATCAGATTAATCATCTAGTACTTCCCCTCTTATTAGTAACATCAAAACGTGTTTTAATGTCTGCTGGTATCTTTGGCTCAGGACTACTTATTTTGGGGTATCAGTGAGATATAAAGCAATGTGAGTCTCGGCTGAAGGCTGGCAAATTCAAGTGAGATCATATGTGACTTTTCAACTAGTCAGAATTCTAATTGCAGAAAAGAAAAAAAGAGAGAAAAAGCCCTTAATCACAGCTTGCAAAGCTTTTGTTTTTCCATGCTGTGATGGGACGTTAAGCACATGGAACCTAATTTCCTATGGGGTGTCAGGCCTTTTTCTTAGATCTGATGAAGTCTACGGATAATTATGTGCAACAACCTACTGTGGCAGAGAAACTGAACTATCAGTTACATCTCAGTCTTCTCACAAAAGAATATGTCAGCCCCTCAGTGCTTTACATTGTCAGCTAATCTCTAGACAGACTTCTGGTTGGAGCTTTGCTTTTCTCACCAGTCCCTTGTCAAGAATGCTCAATAGTCAATCCCTAGCTGGCTTGGCTCAGTGAATAGTGTCGGCCTGCTGACTGAAGGGTCCCGGGTTCGATTCTGGTCAAGGGCACATGCCCGGGTTGCGGGCTCTATCTCCAGTAGGGTGCGTGCAAGAGGCAGCCAATCAATGATTCTCTCTCATCATTGATGTTTCTATCTCTCCCTTCCTCTCTGAAGTCAGTAAAAATAAATAAAAAAGAATCCTCATTAGTCAAGAATGATTTATTTTAAGGAAATTATTTCTATTAAATAGAAAAATTAAATTTAATATTAAACGGTGTATTAGACAATATGCTAGTATATTTCATATATAGTTCTTTTTTTAGGAGTAACTATTGCTTTTGTATACTTTTTAAAAATTTATCTTTATTGTTTAAAGTGTTACAGATGTCCCCCTCTTTTTCCCCATTGATCCCCTCCCACTTCTGTCATGGTCAAAGAAGGTTCACTGTGGACCTAGAGGTGCATGCTGAGGCCCCAGGGAAAAAATCTCTACCTATCTGAAGTAAATAAAGGAGACAGACCCTCTATTAGAAACCATATGGAAAAATGAGAAAACAAACAAAAATCCTGTTCCTTCACAGATAATTCAATGAACATTAGGGTTAGTGGGAAACCTAACAGAAAACACCACAGTTGACATTTCTGTTGTTTGGGGAAATCACCTGAGTTTGCATTTAGTCTATATGTGTGAACTTTTTTTTTTTTTCCAGGGGTGGAGAGGAAACTATGTCAAATTGATTATAAATAATACATTTATATTCATTACACATTATCTCACGTCAAAAATTGTTTCAGCCAAGCTGTAAAAATTATCTCAGAAAACCTGAATTGTTTTGGCTACTTCTTCCTGCTCATCCCTGCCTCCGTGAGCTCCTTGCAAGTAACCAACCCCATCGCCATGTCTCAGGCTGAGTTTGACAAAGCTGCTGAGGAAGTTAAGCACCTCAAGAGCAAGCCAGCAGACGATGAGATGCTGTTCCTCTACAGCCGCTACAAACAAGCAACTGTGGGTGACATAGATAAAGAACAGCCCGGGATGATGGACCTCAAAGGCAGGGCCAAGTGGGGTGCATGGAATGAGCTGAAGGGAACTACCAGGGAAGATGCCATGAAAGCTTACATCGGCAAAGTAGAAGAACTAAAGCAAAAATACGGAATCTAGGGACTGGATTTGGCTGCCAGCCACACTTTTCATCTAAATTGGTAATCATGCCTTGTTTCTCTAATACCATGGATGAAGTGAAATAATGAAATTAACCCTCTTCCTGAACACTGTCCAGGGTATGGCTCTAAGAGATTAAGGAGCTGAAATAAATGGTTACTCGCCTTGCTGAGTAGTTTTAATCTATAGATCAATTTAAAAAAACCTGCATTTGTTACTTTAAGAAACAAAAACAAACCTTAATTGTTTTCCAATCCACAAATCTTATCATCATCTTGCTAAAATATATTACTATCCAGTCAAGAATGTTATTGACTTCATACTGGGGTACTACACTTCCCTTTGCAAATGTTTCTCTCCATGATCCTGAAATATTTCCTAGATAACCTCACATATCTTATCATTTAGTAGACAAACAGCAGAACTCCCAAAACCATCTACTTAGCATAATGCTTCCTTGAGAAGTAAATCCTCAATAGAATTCTGCTGCTAAATATTTTTTTTAACCTTGCCTTATCTAAATATCCCTATACTCCAAAAAGAAGGAACTGGTATAACAGGAGCACTTAACAGTATCTGCCCAGCATTTGTTCTGTTATTTTCAGTAGATTTATTGGAAATGGTAAAAAACTCTATACTGCAATTTCTGCCTTAAAACTTTTTATTTGAACCTGATCCTAATTAAGGGTACAGATTAACCAAATCAACATTTGTAAATTAAGCAAAATAGCATTTTCTTCCCTTTAGAAAAATTTTAGTGATTAAACGTTTCTAGCAAACAATTTGTATCCAATCAAGGCCTTTCAAATGGTGATGTTAACACCTCATTGTGAGGCTGTGAAGATGACCTTAGAACATGGGAACCTCTCATTGTCACATGTATTCAGACGCTTGTATTCTAGTTCTTAATTTGGGTCTTTGTATAGAGGGGAAATAAAACTTGCTTAATTAGAATATTTTGTGAAGCGGAAGTGAGATGATTTATAGAATCATTGATTGATAGGGATTTTGTTGCCACTGTTTTCAGATAAACTCAATTTAGCAATTTCCTCTAGTGAGTGCTTCTGCTGGGATATGCAAAATAGTTGAGTCTTGAACAATAATAGCCTTGGTTTGAAAAGGGTGCTAAAACTGCCCCTCCTGAGGAATAGAGCTGGATAATCTTGGGGAGTGGAGAAAAGAGGCTTTTCTTCATCTCCTGTCCAATCTCTTTCACCCACCCAGCCTTGCTCTCAAGGAGAGGGAAGATGGACGAGCTGGCCAATGACACAGCCAGAGCCAGCCAGGGCAGGGTTGTGAAACTGACCTCCTATCAGGGCCTACACTGCTGAAGTTCTGCAAATGATCAGGGCTGGACAATGGTGGTTCTGCACAAATGTACTCTTCAGGGGAGAGAGGGAAAAAGGGGGCGGAGGGGGAGACAGCTTAAATTTTTTCCCACTAAATCACCTAAAACCACAGACCTGACCCAAATACATGATCATGGCTGCCACCTCAAGCAAGTAGCACCCTCTCCCACTCATCTTCAGGCACCCAGTGTGTCTTTTGGGTCTTACCTGCCATACCACTAAAGCAGTGATGGCGAACCTATGACACGCGTGTCAGAGGTGACACGCGAACTCATTTTTTTGGTTGATTTTCCTTTGTTAAATGGCATTTAAATATATAAAATAAATATCAAAAATATAAATCTTTGTTTTACTATGGTTGCAAATATCAAAAAATTTCTCTATGTGACACGGCACCAGAGTTAAGTTAGGGTTTTTCAAAATGCTGACACGCCGAGCTCAAAAGGTTCGTCATCACTGCACTAGAGGCTTTTGTTTTGATAAGGAGAGGGGGAAAAATCACTTGCATTGATATAGACATAAATTATAATTGTTTAAAACATTTTTACTCTAAAAGGCATTTTTATTTACACAGTGATCAAATGTTTTGAATTGCTGGAAGAAGCCTATCATAGTGGAATTTCTGACATTAGCCACAAGCTTGGGGGATCAGGGAGATACCTGCTTTTGAGAGAGGGCGGTGTTAGCAAGGGTATTTCAAGTGCTCCAGAACTAATACAGTTTCAAAGATAAGGTCCGTGCCCTCTTCTGGAAGGCTGGGTCACAGTTAACGTGTAAAAAGCATTTATCAAGAACCTACTGAATTCCAGGTACTTGACATACATCATCTTGAATTTCACTGATGTCTAGAAGCAGTATGAAGAAATATGCTCATAGAAGTTTAGTCTGCCCTGAGCCACCTAGCTTGTAGGATGTAGAAGCACCATTAAATCTGTTTGTCTGTCTCCCAAGTCCTTACTCTCCTGCTTTAAGAAGGAGACAGTAAAACAGTTCCACACTGAGGACTGGATGTGAAGGAACAACAGGCATCATTTCCACTGAGTGAGGAAGTTCATCACAGGTCTATAGAGAGGTGATGTGTAGGCAACAGTGAAAGATGTATAAAATCAATCTTTTGTCCTTAAAATGTTCTTTTTCTTCCATGAACCAACTAAATGGAGGACATGGTAGACTAGAGAGAAAAAGACAACACACTTGAAATATTTATATGGAATAACAATAGATTATAAGAATTCTATAGGATCCTCACCCTAGCAAATGTGGCTCAGTGACCTGGAGCCTCATCCTGTACACCAAAAGGTGGCAGGTTTAATTCCCCATCAGAGCACATAGGTTTTGGGTCCCATCCCCGGTACAGGTAGGGGTGCATTTTGGAGGCAACAGATCGGTCTTTCTCTTTCTTCTCTTTTTCCCTCTCTCTCTCAAATCAATTTTTAAAAAATCTATAAAACTAAATATGTTATTCTGTATAATTCTGGTTAACAGCTAATTTAAATGATCATGTGACCTATTTTTCCTGCGACCTATTTTTGCATTTGTATTAATATATAATATATATATTATAAAATTTAGCCATTTAAAGTATATGATTCAGTGGTTTTTAGCATATTCAGAGTCGTGCACCATTAATACAACCTAAATTTAGAACATATTCATCACCCACAAAAGAAACCCTGTACTCATTAGCATTTACTCCCCACTCTCTTCCCTCCCCATTTGGCCCTAGGCAACCACTGATCTGCTTTCTGTCCCTATAGATATTATGGATATTCCATATAAGGTGAATAATACAATATTTTGTGTATGTGTGTGTATGTGTGTGTCTCTGTGTGTGTGTGTGTGTGTGTGTGTGTGTGTGAATAGCTTCTTTCACTTAGCATGTTTTTTACGATTCATATACTGCAGTATTTTATTCCTCTGTATTGCCAAATCATATTACATTGTATGGATATAGAACTTTATCCGTTCACTAGTTGATGGATATTTGTATTATTTCACTTTTTGGCTATTATGAATGGTGCTATTAACATCTGTGTGCAAGATTTTGTGTGCTTTTATGTTTCATTTCTCTTGGACATATACCTAGGAGAGGAATTGCATATGATAACTCTATGTTCACCTTTAGAAGAACTATTTCCCAAAGTGACTGCACCATTTCACATTCCCATAACAATGAATGAGGGTCCAGTTTCTCCATATCTTTGTCAATTTCTTGTTAACTTCTTCTTGATTATATCCACGTGTGTGTGTGTGTGTGTGTGTGTGAGAGAGAGAGAGAGAGAGAGAGAGAGAGAACTGGTATCTCCTTGTGCTTTTGATTTGCATTTCCTTGGTGGCTGATGCTATTCAGCATCTTTGCATATGCTTATTGGCATTTTGTATATCTTCTTTGAAGAAATGTCTGTTCCCTGTGATCTACTTATTGTAAATAACATGGTTTGTGAATTCAAAGTTTCTAAGCAGATAATCAGATGACAAAGTCTCTAAAACATGAAAGAAATTTGTTCTTTTGTGATATAAGAACTGACCTGAACCAGGAGGAGTCGATTGCAGTCATAGAAGTGAGGGTTTTCAAATATATTCTAATACCCTTTGGAAATAGAAGGTAATACTTTTCATGATATATATCAGTGGGGTTCAGGACACTCTTTCCCAAAATATGGTACCTTGGCATACTGAATACTTTAAGCTGAAGAAGTTTGGGGGAAATAAAATAGCAGAAGCGGAAAGGTCACTCTGACTGTCTCCTGTCCATCTCCCCTGAAACAGAAAGGAACATTCTTATCTTTGAAGATAAAGGAATGCCCCAAAGAATCTTGGTAAACAGGTCTTGCTAAATTTTCCCAGTTCACTATAATTACCCTACACTCCTTAACCTATGATAGTCCTCCCCCATTGTGCCCTCTTCATCAAACAGAATAGACGTATGCAGGCCTGTTTCCTCAGGTCTTCCTTTCCTTGTGAAGGCCCCTGTGTGGTGCAAAACTTACATGAAATAAATTTGGTTATGCTTTCTTCCCATTAATCTGCCTTTGTCAGTTTAATTTTCAGACTCAGCCAGGGAGCCTAGGAGAGTCCAGGAAAACTGTTTTCTCCCCTACGCTCTGAAGACATTAGTTGAACCTGAAGGGAAAAGAGGGTGCTTCTCCAGGGGAGAAAGGCAGTGTTGTAATAAAGAGCTCAGTCTGCCAGTGTTCAAATTCTGACTCTAGTAGTACTACCGGTGGGACCAATTTCGAGGTTTCACTTTCACAATCTGTACACTGAGCCAACTATCTCCTAGCAGTGGTCGGCAAACTCATTAGTCAACAGAGTCAAATATCAACAGTACAACGATTGAAATTTCTTTTGAGAGCCAAATTTTTTAAACTTAAACTATATAGGTAGGTACATTGTTATTAACTTAATTAGGGTACTCCTAAGGCTTAGGAAGAGCCACACTCAAGGGGCCAAAGAGCCGCATGTGGCTCGCGAGCCGCAGTTTGCTGACCACTGTCCTAGGGTAATGGACAGCATTGATTGATAATGCACTTTGCATCACGTTGATACATAGTAAGCTCTCGATATGTGATATGTACTAGATATTGCTATTATTCCTTAGAAAATAAAGCTGTGGCCCTAGCTGGTTTGGCTCAGTGGATAGAGTGTCAGCCTGCGGACTGAAGGGTCCCAGGTTTGATTCTGGCCAAGGACACATGCCCGGGTTGTGGGTTCGATCCCCAGTAGGGGGCGTGCAGGAGGTAGCTGATCAAGGATTCTCTCACCATTGATGTTTCTATCTCTTTCTCCCTCTCCCTTCCTCTCTAAAATCAATAAAATAAAATAAAAATAAAGCTGTGGAAATAGAAGCCATAAGAGCAATATGAAAACATGAGCCAGCTGTTTATTGCTCTGTGCACGCTGAAAGAAAGAGAGAAATAGAGGATGAATAGGATCAGCTCAGCTACGAGGACCTGCACCTCGTAGGAAAGAAAGAACCTCCAAGAGAAGTCAGTTACCAGAGAAGGAGGTGTTTTAAGATAGAATCTGTAAAGAGAGCATAGATTTAGGCAGGGAAAGAAAACTGCTACCTCTCTCCTTTACCACTCTTATTATATATCCTTATGTAGTAAAGCTGCATTTTGTACAAGAAGA